TTTATTTATATTTTATATTGACTCAAATAAATACATACTTTATTTTTTGAATCTAAAAAATAAAAAATTATCATTAAATATTTAAATTATTGATCTATTATACATAATTAATTTAATTATCACTAAAAATTATCTCATTACACTAAATTTATATGATGAATTTAAATTTTATTTGACTTGATAAATATTTTTAATAAGTAAAAGAAAAAAAAATGATCGCTGTCAAGACTTTAACAATTTATAAATTTTGAACAAATTTTAACTATTTGCTATAGAGATTTCTTTGTTAATTTATGAACAAAAATAACTTTTACATAGGAAATTATTAAACAGAAAAAAAAAAGGAGAAAAAAAAATTCCTTATGTCATGATTATAGTGGAATTTCTAAAATTGTAAATAAAGAAAAACAGGAAGGGATATTTGGTTACTGAAGCAAAATGAGATGACTCTCATTATTCAAATTCTTACAAACGATGATAATTTTAAGAATCTCCAAAACAAAAGATGCTTAATTTGCAGCATCGCAAGCAGCCAAAATTATTTTGATTTTTTTTTTTAGTCAACTTTAGCAGGCGGCTGAGCTCACCCTCGCATCTCCTCGTCAAATTTCATCGTCGAAAACTTCAAATCCATCCTAAAACCAAAACGGAATCCAATTTTTCGTTCTGATTCCGATCATCTTCCACGATTCCCTGTGATGTGATTTCTTAGGGTTTTTGAAAAACCCTACCAGTAATCCGCATGGCTCGTAGATTCCTCTTCAGGTGACTGCACATTCAACTGCTTTTTCCTATTAAAACTTGGTGCCAAGATCAGGGCCTCCCTGAGAGGAAGGGACAGAAGCAAAAACTGGAGGAAGAAATTAAAGAGGAGCCGGAGATTTCCCAGATTTTTTATTTTGGGAATTTTTATTTAGGGATTCAGATGGTATTCAGAAGGGTTTCGAAAGGAAGAAAGAAATTGGGGAAAAGATTTGGGGATTTCTAATTTGGGTTTCGAAAGAAAGGAAGAAACCCAGATTTTTTATTCAGATGGGCTTTCGAAAGGAAGAAAGAAATTAGGGAAAAGAGAGTGATTCGGGGATTTCTTATACGCTGTGAAAGATGATGTGTCGAGAGATGATGTGGCAATGGGAGGGGCCCACAAACAAGGGTGGCAACCAAAAAAGAAAAATAAAAAAAGCCTAACTGGTTTGACCGTTTACACTTAACGCTCAATAAACAACCCCGTTAGCTTACATTGGACGGAGGGACGACAGGTAGACTTAATTAATAGTAGAGGTACGACATGAAGCCAATCCATAGTGAAGGTTTAGAACGCACTATTTTTTATAGTAGAGGGCCGATAGATGGCCTTAGCCCCCTCACTCTATATATGCCCCTAACGTCCAGACATTCTAAGGCATTCACTCTAATGGAAAGTGAAAACAGTTCCTCCGATTCTCCGACTCCTGTCCGTAAGATTGTCACCGTGGCTGCCATTGCTGCCGGTGTTCAATTTGGATGGGCGCTTCAACTGTCCCTTCTCACTCCTTATTCCCAAACCCTTGGAGTCCCCCACACATGGTCCTCATTCATCTGGCTTTGCGGCCCCATCTCTGGTCTCCTTGTGCAGCCCATTGTAGGCTACTATAGTGATAACTGCACCTCTAAATTTGGCCGCCGCCGCCCCTTCATATCAGCCGGCGCCGTCGCTGTTGCCATCGCCGTCTTCCTCATCGGCTTCGCCAAGGATATCGGCCACCATGCTGGTGATTCCTTGGAGAAACACACCAAGCCAAGAGCGGTGGCGATTTTCGTCGTCGGGTTTTGGATCCTTGACGTGGCTAATAACATGTTACAAGGGCCATGCCGAGCTTTCCTGGCGGATCTCTCTGCGGACAATCATAAAACGATGCGTATCTCTAACTTTTTGTTTTCGTTCTTCATGGCCGTCGGAAATGTCCTCGGATATTCGGCCGGCTCCTTCTCGGGCCTCCATAAAATGTTCCCTTTCACACAAACTGCGGCTTGCGACGTTTACTGCGCAAACCTCAAAACATGCTTCATTATCGATATCATTCTCCTCCTCTTTGTCACCATCACGGCGATTACCACTGTCAGTGAGACGCCGTTAAAGAAACCACAAGATCCCGAACCTCGTCCCTCCGGGATCCCCTTTTTCGGCGATTTATTCACCGCATTTAAAGGCCTTAAAAAACCGATGTGGTTTTTGCTTTTAGTCACGAGCCTTAATTGGATCGCGTGGTTCCCATTTCTCCTGTTCGACACGGACTGGATGGGGAAAGAGGTGTACGGCGGAAACGTTGACGGGAACGACGCGGAGTCAAAGCTGTACGATAAGGGTGTCCGCGCCGGAGCGCTGGGGTTGATGATCAATTCCATTGTGTTGGGTTTTTCTTCGCTGGCGTTGGAGCCGTTGGGACGGGTCGTTGGTGGCGTTAAGAACTTGTGGGGTATTGTTAATTTTATATTGTGCGCATGTTTGGCTTCCACGGTGGGAATCACCAAGATGGCAGAGGCTTGGAGACGTAGACACCCCGGCGTTCTCTCGCCGCCTCCATCCAATGTCAAGGCTTCTGCCTTGTCCATGTTTGGTCTCTTGGGAATTCCCCTCTCGGTAAGTCCTCCTTTCGCTGACTTCAAAATTTTTCAGTACTTTTAATTTATTTTAATACAGAATACATAAATACAAAAGTTGTGTTGAATTCTGCCCATATAATAATCTCCCTTTTATTTTTGTTTAGGTGACATTCAGTATTCCATTTGCGCTTGCATCGATCTTTTGCTCTTCCACCGGTGGTGGTCAAGGTCAAAATTGAGGGATCAGTTTTTTGATATATTATATTGTAGTGTGT